TGATCCCAGCTACTGGGAATCTGAGGCGGGCCGATTGCTGGAAGCATGAAGTACAGACCAGACTCAGCAATGCTGCAAAATCCCTTATCAAAATCAAAACAAAACAGGAGAGATTTAAGCCAAAAAGGGCAATGGAAAAACTGAGGAAATGGCAATAGGTTAGAAAGGTCAATGAAATTCTGTAATATAGAGTAGATGAGTAGAATTTTAGGATGGAGGAGTAAGTTGATAGCCAAGGGCTTGCAAAATGAGAAATCAATATAAAGTATGCTGATTCTTGGCTTAGAACCTGGAAAACCCCAAAAAAATCTGAAGGCAGCACTGGAGGCAGTGCTATGAAAAGGGATATTGCCTGGAGTCTCTATGTGCAACAATTAAACTCCCAGCTCTTCCTAAAGTGAGGAAAGCAAATTGCAGCTCCTTTTTAACCCTAGAGGAAGAAGAATGGGAAGATTACTCCTCAGAGAGGATAAACTAGAAACTCTTGAGACTCAAGAGAGAATGGAAGGACTAGACTCTTGGAGTAGAAAGCTTGCTGGGGAATGCAAGCCTCTGGGATCAATTCCCTGCAAGTGGTAAGAAAAGAACTATAAAATTTTAAAAGCTCTAGCTAAGATAAGGGCAGGGGATAAGGCAGTGATGCAAACAGGTAGGTTAAGTAACAGTTGGCATTCTAACTCATAATCTAGCTTTCAACCTGCCCCTGCTGAGATCCCTGATTTTTGAGAGCCCAAATTACCGGCAGGAGCCAGCAGGATTCCTTGCTGTGGTAAATGCCTTGAACCAGGAAGAAGACCTACAGATACTAACATCTGGGGCCCATGGTGAAATGGCCAATTTTTTCAGTTACCACCTGAGCTTACAGATTTTCTTCACCTCTTCTGGCTTAAGCCTTATGAACAATCAACCAGAGACCACCAGATACTTGACAACAGCTACTAGTGTGAAAGATCAATAAAATAAGCATCTAGAAAGAAGTATCTAGAGAAAAGGGAAGCAACATAAAACATAAACTATACTGAGTATCTCAGATGTAAGAGAAATATCACTCATGGAATAACCAGGAATGCTATAATAAAGAACTGATCAGAGAATACAAAGACTTGTTACTTACACATAAGACCCTATTAGTAACACATGTAATAGGAGAGTGAAGAGATGTTCTGCACACCACTCCTACAGGAGCCCATGAATGGCAAGAGGCCTAGGGGAGGTCATGTGGCCCTGGGAGGCTGAACACTACTTGTCCTACCCTCAGAGTGGACAAGCTCAGAAAAGTTTCCTCCTGCCTTTAAATGACCATGTAGCTTGGGCGGCAAACACTGTGTGGACATCTCAGCCATGGCCAGGCTGGACTTGAAATCTCAGGTTTCCCCAGATTTCCTGGTATGATAGTGTCTTGAAACTCCTGGAAACTTCTGCACAGGGAATCAGCTAAAAAGATTTCTCAAAAAACAATCACTTCCTCACCACTCAGGGGAAGTGGAGCTTAGAGACGTTTTGTCTCATGTAGAAAACAAAAGCCAAGTGACATGTTTGGTTATGACAAATTTATACCCACTATATTACATAATCTAGACTTGTTCTGATAAGAATGAGATTGACGTCTGGAATAACAGAGGCCTTGCACACTCCTTAGCTAAGTCATGCCCAAGTCCCTGCAAGGGGCATGGCCAGGTGGGCATCTGAATTTTCTCTCTCGGAGAGACACCCTCCCTTCATCTGTTGTGCCATCGTTCAAGGGTACACAACACACAAAGGAAGTCAGAGATGGGAATTAATTAAAACCTGCCCCCGTTGTATGTTCTGCAAGCTCAAGTTGTTGTGCTGGCACCTATATCCCTGCAACCAGCTCAGGCTTCAGTGCTTGAGTCATTGCCCTGTCCTCCCATTTCCTACCCACACTGTGAAGGTGACAGAGCTTTATAGGGTCCTGCTATGAAAAATAATCCCTAGATATAGCCTGCTATGAAAAATAACCCTTGACCGCTGGCAATATTGGCTTTTGTTACTGAATGCTTTGAATTGCTTATACTTAATAAATTCTTACAATGACCCCATAAGTATACTTTAGCAGGTGTAGTATTATTTCAGTTATAGAAGAATATATGGACCCTTCAGATAAAGTAACTTTCCCAAAGAAATGTAGTTAGTAGTGGCAGAGCCAGGATTTGGATTAGCTCAGGCTGGCTCCTCCTGCCTCAGCCTCCAAAGTGCTAGGATTACAGCAGTGATGCTAGGATTACAGGCCTGTACCAGCCTATCTGGCCTATTGTTTTACTTTTAAGTAGCTGGCTTGTTATGTCAAGTGAAATAATAAAATTATAACTGAATATTATTCACTCCTTCCCCAGAGGACCTAACCAAGAGGATGAAAAGCAACTCTTCCCTTTGAAGTAGTCATGTGGTAGCACTGCCATCGCTTTAGCAAGCAAGCATTTGTTTTGCACCCAAAGAAGTCCTATTTCTATAACAGTTCAAATGCTCAAAAAGAAAAAATACTTTCTCCAGCTGAAAGACCCTGAGTGCTCTTCCCATGAGCTTTGGAAGAGAATGAGGGGGAGAAGATCCTGACTGTTTTAGTTGGTTTTCATTTATTTGAGACTCAAAAGTCTGTCTTACTTTTTATTATTAATAAGTCAAAACTATAACCTAGTCCAAAACTATAACGAGGTTATTCTTGATTCTTAGATGGAATCACTATTCACTAATTTAAAGCCAAAGCTGGTAATCTTTAAAGGCCAGAAAGAGGCAGGGAGGAAACCCTTTCCATCGATGAAAAAAAGAAACTACAAACTCCTGGCATTTTCTGTGGTGCAGAATCTGGCTTCCTAGCACAGTTCTTCTGACGTTCTGGTTGTGCTGATTTTAACAATGTGCACAGGGTTTTGAGATGGCAAAGTTTGTAAAGGTACCACTTCGTTGATCATTTGTGTCTGGGTAAGTGGACTTTTAAAATTCTATTCTAAAATGACATCTTATGTTCTAACATAGAAATGAGAGGCAAGGTATTGTAGAAAAGAGGGTAGGAAAACTTTCACATGAGCCTTACGTACAATTCTATAACATTTATTTGTATAACCATGACATCTATAACAACAACAGAAAGTCTAGAGTAAGAAACTGGCTTAGCCAAATAATGCCATGCTATACACTCTTTAAAATGACTGGCAAAACTGTCACATCTGTTTAGTGAAAAAGAGTGAATAAAGTAATTTTAAGTGAAGATCAATAAATAGTAAATGCATATAAAGCAGTGTAAGAAAATGAATATTAGTAAAATTCTCTGCTGATGGTAAGCTGAGAGTAGTCATTTTTTAAAGTTGCTAAAATTCATAAAATGTAAAACAATGTCTTTGTTGTAGTAATAGTGCCACTTCTCAATTCTTTCTGAGGCAAATCTTCAAACAATAGCATTTCATTATTTACTGTAGATTAAATCTTACATCAGAATATTTTTAAATGGCATTAAATTGGTGAATCAACAATGAACCTCTGCTTTACATACAGCTCAAAAGATGAGGACTCCTAAACTTCTAGAGGAAGAAAGAAATCAAAAGATTTTAAATAATGGGGCCAGCTTACCCCAGGTAGCCCAGGCACCTGGCTTTCCAGTCAATATGAAGATTCACCTCCTTCTGGGGCTTCTTGTCCTTTCTGTGACCATTCAGGGCAAGGTCTGTGGAAGGTGTGAATTGGTCAGAACTCTAAAAAAACTTGGAATGGATGGCTTCACAGGAATCAGCCTGGCAAACTGTAAGTCTGCTCGTCTGACCTCCAGAGAGCCCTGGATGGGACCAATACCAGAGAGAATGCACAACCATGGGGAGTTTTGCGTAAATTAATGCTTTTATTTCTTGTGGGTTTGAATACTTACAGTGGTTAAAACATCATCTGTTCCTGTATAATCAGAGATACCTGGTGAAGGATTGATTGGGGGATGATGGAAAGGATCTGAATATTGTACATGTTCTATGTCACACAAGGCTTATTTGATAAATCGGAGGGTACAGTTTTGACCTTGGGTTCTAAAGCCTAGAGTGATACAGAATTTTTCCTTTCTTAAGATCCTCTGCTCAGGAGGATGGCTGCAAATTCGAGGCAGCCTGGGCTACAAAGTGAGTTCAAGACCAGCCTGAACTGCCTAGTGAGAACCTGTCTCAAAACAAAACAAAACAAAAAATCCTCTGCCATGACCTAGGGTTTTTTGCTGTTGTTGTTTGTTTTTTTGTCTTTTTGAGACAGAGTCTCACTGTGCAGTTCAGACTGGCCTTGAACTCACTTTGAAGCCTAAGCTGGCCTTGAACTCACAGCATTCTTCTGCCTCAGCCTCCCAAGTGCTGGGATTACAGGCACGTGCCACAATGCCCAGCTGATCTAGAGTTTTTAATACCAAAATTTAAAAAGTTATGGTAAACTATTAAAAAAAAAGCAGTGAAAACCTATTTCCCTCCAGCCATTGCTTATTTAAGAATCTCTAAAATTCACCAAGATATATTTTACTGCTGTTATTCACTTTAGATTGAGTTTGTAATTTTCTTTTTTTATTAGTATGTGTTTGAGCTACACAATGAACATTTTTAATTTTCTTCCATAATAATTCATGATGTGCCAAGCTACTTTATGGATTACATTTATTAATTCAATAAGTGTGCTTTTCAGAATAGTCAAGCATTTACCCTCAGTAACTATTTTTGAGTGAGTCAATAGATGAATGGGTGGATGGATGAAATCACAGAATAGCTTTTTCTATTCTCTAATACTTGTTTTCAAGATTCTTACCTAACTTCTAAATTTGCCTTTAAATATAATAAGAAAACCTCTCCCTCTCAGAAAACTACTTTTTCTAATAAAATGCATTTTCCTGCTAGCCTGTGTATGTGCTGTAAATTTACTAAATTGGCTCAACAGCTTTGTTGAATTTTGTATTCTAAGCTGAATGTTGGTTGAGTGATGACAGCAGGGAAAAAATAAAAGCAATGATGAAACAGCCATTGTAGTATTTTTAAAGCAATTTATCTTGCTTTATTAGCATTGCAAATTGAGTGGCATTGCAAAAGGACTGTCTTCAGGGCCCTGTAGAGCTATGGTGTTGGGTTGGGCGGAGTGGCTCACACCTGGGGCTCCGGGCTATGCAGGAGGATGAGGAGGGAGGATCCCTTGAGGCACTAGTCCAACTCGGGCAACCACAACCTGTGTCACAACAAGAAAATAAAATTGAAAATCACTTTGTAAGTTAAATATATCTTTGTACTTATAAATTAAGTCATGGGGGCTGGGGATACAGCTCAGCAGCACAGCGCCTGCCTGGCAAGTGCAAGGTCGTGAATTTGATTCCCAGCACCCTCCCCCCTCAAAAAAAGTGAGAAAGTAAGTCACTAGTGAAATAGAATTAGGTAAAGAGCACTGATTTTGGTGTACAGCATAAAGCATGCGGTGCTACTATTTTTTACTAAAAATAATTTCTTTTCAGGGATCTGTTTCATCAAATAGAAGAGTAATTACAATGTACGAGCTGCAAATCACAATGCTGGAGGCACAGGCACTGATTATTGGATATTCCAGATTAATAGCCAGTATGGTGCAATGGTGGCAAACCCCCAAAAGCAGTTAACAGTTGTGGCATAACCTGCACTGGTGAGACAAGATAGTGACCGCCAGGCCCCATCTGGTTATGGAGGACAGACAGTCAATGCAAATGATACAGTCCAGGAGGTGATCTTCCTGACTCAGTCTCCTCAGCGCTGGGATTACTGGTGTGCACTGCCATGCCCAGCTACCTATGAATCCTTTGTTGCATAAAATAGTACAACATACTGAAAGTCTGGTATGGTTAAATGCTTACATTTTGAAATTCCCAAAAGAGAAAACTAATTTTAGGATATTGTCTTGCAATCCAGTTAATTTATTTCTAAAATATGTTGTATTATTTAATAATCTTTGGTCATTAAATTAAAATTAGAAAATGCAAGCAAGAAAAAATAGCGCCCACAATCATACTACTCAGAAATGTGTAACCACTGGTAACTTCAGCTATTATTCTTCCAGAATGTGAATCAATCATGTACATACATGTAAAGCTCTTTCATGCACCTATGTACTCACGTACAATCATGTAAACAATGTGTATCTTTTATAGAAATTAAATTTTGTTATACATACTGCTTTATAATTTCCTTTTTATCACACAAAACTATTTCCACATCAACAAATACTAATCTGTTATCATTTTAAAAGGTGAATAGAATTCTATTATATGAATACACTATAATTTTTGGTCCAGTTCTTACTAATAAACATTTTGCTTTCAATTTTCCCTTTTATAAATTGCTGCAAACAGCTTTGTGCATACATGCTTAGGTGCTTTTCTCATTATTTCTTTGGGATGAATAATCAATAGTAAAATACCTGAGGAAAATGCAGTATACTAGGAACATTTTTTATAGTGCCATGTAATTACGCTAATGAATAATTCTAAAGTTCTTGATGAGAAACAGCATCCTTTATTTCATGTGAAATAAGGTAGATAGGGCTGGGGATATAGCTCAGTGGCACAAGCCACTGGCACACGCAAGGTCTTGAGTTTGATTCCTGGTACCAGAAAAAAAAAAAAAAAAAAAAAAAAAAGAAAGAAATAAGATAGAAGATTTTCTTAGCTTTAGTTGGCTAAATCTAAACTTAAAATGAAATTCTTGTGGCAGTCATTTTCATGCCTCACTATCTCTCTTTCAGCTTTGCTGCAAGATGACATCACTGGAGCTGTAGTTTGTGCAGAGAAAAGTGTCAGTTCTGCACTAGGCATTGACGCATGGTATGCTTAGGTGTGAAAGGAGAAAGGGGTTCATGTTACTGTTACGGGTTTTCTCTAAGTATTCCTGCAAAGCCTCGGGCGGTCACAGGTGGGGCTTTTTGGAGGTGCCTGGCTCTGGAGTATGTGGTGCTGGGATTAAGGATGTGATACTGATATTGATTCATTGTGCAATGGTAGGATTAACGGTGCCCCACCCAGGGTATGAGCGCTGCCTTGGACCCAGCCAACTAGGAAATAAAACCTCTACACACTGTGAGCTACAATAAACACTTCCTCCTTTAACTTTGGGTGTTGAGTATTTTGTCTCAGCAAGGAGAAAAGTAACCAAGACACTTACTATTGATATGTGTTGTGAAAGAAGACCTCAAACACCAACGTGTACTTCTGAGCTAAAAATTGCCTTTTCAAGTTGATGTGAAGCAATGTCTTACCATTATCCTTGAAGAAACAGTCCACTTTCAGTGACGCAGAGTGTTAATCTTTTACTCTATTTATTTTGGGGGAGTTCTGGAGTTCTGAAGTTCTCCACATTCTACTACTTATTTCCTCGTTATATCTTGAAAGTATTTGTAGAATAAGTTTAATGTGCAATGTTCAGGACTCAACATTTGTTCACCATTCTGTGCTGTACTGGGGGTCTAGAGAACAGAAGACTTTGCACACATCCTCCATTCAATATTTGGCAATACCTGACTCTAGCGATAGCCAGTGTTTTGTTTATTGATAATATATTTTGTTACTGAAAAGGATTTGAAGTATGTGTATTGCAGTGAAGACAAATTTTAACTTTTTCTCTGTGTGTTTCATTTTTCTTTACAGTGTGGCTTGGAAAGCTCATTGTGAAAATCAAGGTCTCACTCAGTGTGTCCCTAGCTGTGGAGTCTAAACTGCAAAATTTTTCTTCTTCAAATCTTTTTGTCCCTTGTTCACATTACGGAGTAGTAAAAAGTTACCCTTCTACTGTTTCCTCCCCAGATAAATAGCATTTTTAAGATATAACATAATACTTTCAAGATATAACAGAAACATTAGAAAAATACAAACTTTCTCTATGACCCTTCCTGTTCACCAATACACTTATTATTTGATATAAGCCCTACAGTTTTCATTTGTTGTCTAAAACTAATGCTGTTGAAAATTTTTCTAATATCTTGATTCTCAAATACATCCCCAGTACATTCAGTTCAGCAAGGAAATAAACCAGCCTTAATCTTGAATGATACCAGTACTCCACAATATTAGATAAAATATAGCCTAAATGTATTGAAAACAAATTGATCTTAGGGGAAGATCTGAGCTATGCAGGCACCTGATACCTTAATCTGTTTGATCACCTACAAAATCAGTAAAACAGATGTGCTGTTTAAATGCTTAAAGTGGCAAAAAAAAAATGGCTTAAAATGGAGACTATCTGTATTAAGAATTTGGTTTTCAGAAAGCACATAACTTTTGACTTCAGTATTGTCTTAGATATGTTGAATTTGTACAGTTTTAAAATTAGATTCACATTTTATATAACAATCTATATTAACTCTTCAAAGAATACTTACATGAATCTTGCTGACCATGAATATAATAAAAGATTACATGAGTTAATATTCACCAACTTTATTAACTTAGATTCATGTATACTAAATATATCAGAGACAGAGGAGCTCACATGACTAATTAATCATAGGAGTAAATGTATGAGACTGTATAAAATACAAACACTATCATTAAAGGCTTTGCAAAGCATGCCTGGGCTGTCTTTGTTTAGATGCATCTAATATCTTTGGAGCACAGATTATCTGTATTTGAAAAAAGAAAGATTTGACCCTCTTAATATCTTCTGTATCCTCCTCTGTACCCAAACAGCTGGATATTGCTGGAGAAAACTCCACAATCATGCTGAGAAATCCCACTTTAAATTTATATCTAGGGCCAGGGATATAGCTCAATGGTACAAGCACCTTCTTGGCAAACGCAAGGTCCCAAGTTCGATTCCTGGTACCAAAAAAAAAACCAAAAATAAAAAATTTATATCTATTGCTGGGCATGGTGGCGCATGCCTGTAATCCCAGCAGTCGGGAGGCTGAGGCAGGAGGATTGTTGCGAATTCGAGGTCAGCCTGGGCTACAAAGTGAGCTCAAGGCCAGCCCTAGCTGCATATTGAGATCCTGTCTCAAAAAGACAAAAATAAAATAAAATAATAAATTTATATCTATTGCCAGGCATCGTGGCACATCCTTGTAATTCCAGCACTTCAGAGTCTGAAGCAGGAGGATTATTGTGAGTTTGAGGCCACCCTGAGCTACATAGTGAGTCAAAGCCAGCCTTCCTTACAAAGTGAAGGCTATCTCTAAATTAATGAATTAATTAACTAATACCCATTAATCTCATGTGGGCTGTCCAGTCAGGCTGGCCATTTTAGTCACTTCTCTGCAATCCCAGGTTGGGGTCCCAGTTCTCCAAAATGACTACTTTGCTTCTCCCCTTCTCTGTCACAAAACACATAGATGATCCCTATCTGCCTCTTCATCCTCTTCCTCTCTCTGCTTTTAGGAGATTATCTGACTTAACTTTACACTGAAGGAAAGGTGACAACTTCACACAAAGTCTCCCCTTCATATCACCAACTCAGCCGTCAGGTCTTCCCCTGGACTCCTCTTTTCCTTCTTCTATTTCTGGCATGTGGCCTTTGTTTCTCAAACAAAGGTGGAAACGTCATACAAAGCTCTTCCCTCCAACTCACTAAAACACTAGTCACACTTCCCCTAAGCTCACCTCCCACCGCATTTAATATCTTCTGTATCCTCCTCTGTACCCAAACAGCTGGAGGGCCTTTGCTCCTGTCAAAAGCAGCGGCTCCACCTGCAGTCATTGTTCCCTCCTGCTCACTGCTCTGACCTCACCTGGTTTCTCCCTCTGTGCTGTATCACCTCCATCACTGGACAAACCTCCCCAGTGACAGCCCATCTTACAGAGAACGCCACACTCACATCACGATACCTTCCAGCTTCCACTGCATCCTCTGCTCACTTTCCACCAAGACTTCTGGGAGGAAAGTCAGTACTCACCCCTCTCCATGGCCTCACCTCCCATTCTCTCCTCACCCTTTCTAATCTGACTTCTGTCCTCAACTCAGCCAAAACTGCTTGTCCACGCCATCTCCTGCGACTCCTTCACTCAATTCCCGTGAGTATCCATTCCCTGCACGTCTTACTTGATCTCTCTGGAACATTTGACAAAGTGAACCACTTCCTACTTCCTGAAACCTTTTCTCTCTTGGCTTCTCACCACATCCTACCTAACAGCCTTCTCCTTCTCAAACCCTGCTGGCTCTTTTTCTGGAATGTTTTCTAATGTGTAAATGCCTCAGGCTCAAGTCTATAACATTTGACAAACTACAAATTTTACTTGTTTATTAATACTAGTCTCTTCTTATCCATGATTTCAGTCTCTGAGGTTTCATTTATTCATGGCCAACAGTGATCTGAAATTTTAAATTAAAAAAATTCCACAAATGAGCAGTTCATAAGTTTTAAACTACACCATACTGAGTGGCATAACGGACTCTTTCTCTATCCTGTTCTGTCCTGACAACGACAACAATTATCCTCGTCTAGAACATCCACACTACACATCTCCCCACTCAGAAGTCACTTAATAAGCCACTCAATTAAAAAGATTGCCTGTGGCAATGTCGAGGTGCCTATATTTAAGTGTCATTATTTTACTTAATGCAATATTTGTTGCATTTTATTGGTAGTTATGGTTACTATCTTGTGTGACTATAAATTAAACTTCATCATAGCTGTATGTGAAAAGAGAAAACAGAATACATAAGATTCATTATTACCTCTAGTTTGGGACTATGGACCAAGGAAGGTATCCCTAAGGAATAAGAGAGGACACTATATTTATCTCTTCTCACAAAAAAATCACTCCTAAAAGGACAAAGTTCTTTTTTCACTCTCTGAAAAGATTATAATGATCTTGGGATGTAGCTCAGTGATAGAGAACTAGTGTTGCATACATAAAGCCCTAGGTCTTATCCCTGGCACTACTGAAATAAAGCATAAAAAAAAAATATTTGAAACTAACCTGAATTCCAATCTCAGCTCTGCCACTTCCTAACTCTATTTCTTTGAGAAAGTTATTTTACTTTCTGGGGTGCATATTATTCATCTATAAATGGAAATAATATTTATATGACCTTTGTAAGGACACTGACGTTTAATAAGTGACTAGCTCTTTAGAAGCACTGAGTGAGTAGAAGTTAGTATTAGTTCCTTATCCTTGTCCTTTATCTCCAAAGGGTGTAGATACTCACCAAGTCTTGATAATTCAGCCTCCTGCATATCTCCTGATTGTTCTAGTTCTTTCCATAGTGCAACATCATCTGACATCTGGATTATTTGTCAGATTTCTATCAGCTCTCCACATTCAACATAGAATGATTTAAAAAAAAAGATTTTGATTCTGTTACTCTCCACTTTAATACTCATGAACATTTTCTCCTAAAGTTCAGAATGGAATTCTAAGCCCTACAGTCTTTGAATATAAATATACAGTCTTTGACATTAAGTACCTAGTCTTGCTGTGCTCCTGTTACTGAACAGCTCCTTCCAAAAGTGGCTCACCAAATAAACATTACACCAAATAAATGTTACCAGGTTTTGTGGTGCTTGCATCTCCTTCTGGAGTTGGATTCTAGGTCCTTCTCATCTCCAACAAAGAACTGAATGAAATGAGCAAAAACGACAGCAAAGTTTATTTGAAAATGTAAAAGTGAAGAGTGAGAAACTCACTCTGCAAAGAGAGCTTAGACCAAGGTAAAAGAGGAAAAAACAATGTAAAAGTACACCCTGGAGGACACAGGGCCAACTACCATGAGGAAAGCCACCATAGTGAGCTCTTTATGGTAGCTGTGTGCTTCTATACTGTCCAAATCTTGAGGAACCCTATGATATCTTCTATGTAAGAGTCCTGGGTGGTGGTGCTGATATCCCACACTTCAAGTTGACATCTGGTCTAGGCCATCATATTGAAAACCTTCTGGAGTTCTCACAAGAAGTCTACATGCAGGGATTTGGGATCTGTGTAGGCACCTATCCTGGAATCTTGAAATTAACAGATCACGCCTACATCCCCAGCCAGCTTTGCCACACTCGAATCTCCTACCTCACTCCTTCTAACTTCACTTCCTGGGTTATTTTCCAAGACATCCTGGTATTTTTTTCAGTGTTTTCATCAGCCTACGTTTTTCTGTCCCGTCTGGGATTCAGAACATGGTATTTAGTACCAGCCTGCACCAATTCCTCCAACCCCTTATTTGACTACTACAACTCATCATTCAGGTCTTGCCTAGAATTTTATAAATAGGTTTATCACCTCTGTTAATGTTTCCCATGCACACAGTGCTTCCCTTTCTGTAGAAATCCACACACTTAAAATTCATTTGCAGTCAGCATGCTCACTTTCTACCACCTCTGAGAAGGCAAGAATGATATCTGCCTAGTTCCTGGCTAGTGCCTGAAGCCCTAGCACAGTATTTGCCTAGCAGATATTATCTAGAGAAATCCTTATTTCCCACTAAGAGAATGGGAAATTGAGACATGGCAGAAAGCGCCTACAAAAAGAGTGTTGTGAAAAGACTATAGGATTTACTCACCTATAAAGTATACCTATAAGCAAGTACATTCTACATAGAAAAACACTTCGTTAAAAAAAGCAGCAAATTCAGATGAAAATTTTATTTAGCATCTGATGCTTTGTAATTAGATAAGGGTAACCTCTTATTGATAAGCTATTTATGCTAAAATAGGAATTTAAATGTATTTTTAATTTTTTTGTTTGTTTCTTTGAGAGGTCTCACTATGTAGTTCAGGTTGGCCTTGAACTCACTGTGTAGTCAAGGCTGGGCTCAAACTTAGCGATACTCCTCAGCCTCCGGAGTGCTGGAATTGCAGGTACGCACTGACATGTCCAGTTTAAACATATTTTTAGAGGTAATAAAAAATATACTGGTCCTGTTATATTAATGTCATCATAACTGTTATTCTAAAATGCTATGTTTGAAAAAAAATGCTATGTTTGATCTTATTTTTTATTTTGCATTTTCCGTGTAAAACTTTACAACTATCATCTGTTAATATTCTGCAGGAATATAACTTCCAAAAGACAACCTAAATAGTATGTTATGATGGTAGGCTATCACCTCCAGTGCAGGTAGAATATGACATTGACTCCTAATACTAATTCTGACATGATTAGTGGAAGAGGTAGCTGTTCTCTGGTCATACTTTGTATTTCAAAGTTCCTGATATTCAGAAAGGATTATAATAGTTAGAATTAAGAACTACTGCTCCTACTTCAAGACTGGTATAAAGGACCTTCTGAGTATTTAACAACTGAGGCTTGGAGGCCAAAACTACAAAAGATAAAATAAAATAAAGTAAAATAAAATAAAATAAAATAAAAAATAAATAAATAAAATATTAAGACAATAGTTTGGAATGTTCCCTTTAAACCAGACCCTGCATTGTGATGGGATCCCTCTAAAAGGATGTTTTAACTCCAGTGAGTTACCTACCCACCTGACAAAGAGGATTGTTGGACCCCAGTGATCAGGAGTCAACCAAAGTGCATTTTTATCAAAAGAGGGACACTAAAGAGGAGAAGGTCCCTGCGGTTTCAAGGGAAGCCATATAGTCAAGCAAAGATCATGATCCATTCTAACAGTAACACAAACAGTAGATTTTTAAAAATTAGAGGACCTAAGGGTCTTTTCATATGGACCAAAAAGTAACTGACCTATAGGGAGACTTAACCAACCTTGACAAATATATAGGTAGATTAATTTTGATGAACACAAATCTTACTTTGACTTGCTTTTAAACACTCAACAGCAAAGTATAACCCAAAAATGGAGTAATTAGTAATAATGTGAAAAAAAAAAAAGTTAAGCTAGGTATAAAAGATGCTCCAAATACTGCACCAGTTCATACTGGCAGTGTCCAGCCATACCTGTAACATTTCAGCCCACAGCCATGAGAACTCATGAGTCCCCATCCCACTAGCTGTTCTAAAACTGTGTCCTTCAGCCTGTCTTATTATGTTACCAATATACTATTTCATGAACTTTCAAGTACCCTTTAGGTAAAGATTTCGCTTCTTGCAGAGATATACCTGTCAGATAAAATTGACAGTGTAAATATTCTAGTACTAAACTTTGTTAACTTTGTGGTATAAATTAACTTTCTGTTATTTACTTCAGAATTTAAATGCTTATTATCTGGAGCCAATCACTACAAAAGGTCTTCAGGTCAACAAAACAGAGGCCAGACCTCAGATTCTAAATCCTGTAGTAAGAATCTTAATGGCCCAATGGTCACAAAAACATAGATATCTTTATTTAATGTATTCATTGGTCATTGTTATAATTAAAATAAGAGACTATTGAATTTCTTATTGAGAAAACAGGGAGGAGACTGTATACTCTTCAACTCTACCTTTGTACTTGAGTAAACATCTCAAAACAAAGAGATTAATGTTAAAGGTAAGAAGCTTATGCCAAATGCTTCCTAAATTTGTCTGACTTCTATCATGTTTTGGAGCCCCAATTCACTAATATCCTACTTTAATTTGGGGTCCTTGCTTGTTTAACATTACTATAAAATAAAGTTTAGAAGTCAATGGCTTGCTAACCTTCTTGTCCTCTTTTCCAGGCTATCAAAGGATGGTGGCTCATCAAACACCAAAATGCATCTTCCTTTGTTTCTTTAGATCAGTCAGAGTGAGATCTTTTTATTCCTTGCTACTCAGGGCCACTGTCCCCTCTCAGCCTGAAGCAGCCAGAAGAAGAGGAATCTTTGGGCTCTCTGCATCCCTTGAGAATAAGTGATCAAAGTCCCAGAGGAAAATGAGGTAAGATAGAAAAAAATATAAAGATAGGCAGAAAAGAGGTGAAGAAATAATAATTTAAAAATTGTACTTTTAAGAAGACTGCAACTTCTGGACACAAAAGTTATCCATATCTGTATACAAATTTGCCCATATCTGTACACAAGGTTGTTCATATCTGTACACAAGGTTGTCCATAGTTGTACACAAGGTTGTTCATATCTGTACACAAGGTTGTCCATA